TCGAAAGCCGAGGGTAGTGGCAAGCGAATCCATGATGAAGGCAAGTCAAATGATGAGGAATGTTGTTCCTCGAGTGGCAAAGAAAGTCCACTCAATGATGAACCAGATGGTGAGTCTGGAGAAGAGGTGTGCAGTCTTGACACAAGTTCAAGTGTCAAAGATGCTAAGCCGAGGGTAAGAGTCGAGCAAACGAAGGGGTGCAAACTTAAGATGCCAGAAGTGTTATGAGACTACCCGAGGGGAGCCGAGTCATCCAATGTGATGGACAAACCCAGGATCGAGGGGGCATTGAGAGTTGGCTCAATACGGTTCATTTCTGCTAAGGAAAGTATAAGTCAAGTGCAGGAGGAGTTATCCATGTCCAAGGAGTTTGCCGAGAATGTTCGAGTAGAGAACATGGCTTCAGAGACCATCATAAGAGAAGGGTCGAAGCAAGGGCTTGCCGAGGATGTTCAAGTGAGGAACAATCCTTCAAATACTAGTAGACAAGAGTCGAAGGGAGCCAAGATGTTAAGGGACAAGGAAACTATGGAGAAACTACCCATTTGCAAGGTGGGAAGTGAGCTCCAACCTTCGTGTTAGAAGGAAAGAGGCAAGAAGGGGCATCAGACTTTGCCGAGAGAAAGTTCCGAAACATGGTGGCGCAAAGAACTCAAATGATAAGGGTTTAATGCGATGAGTGTTAGACTTCATGTAATAAGAAGGGTTAACGTAATTTTGAGTATGTCATAGTTTGTACTAGACTAGATATTGCTCAAGTAGTGGGAGCTATTAGCAGGTACATGAATAATACATGCAAGGTACATTGGGAAGCAGTCAAATGGACCCTCAAATATCTGCGGGTACCACAAAACAAAACACTTTGTTTCAAAGGTGAAGATACGATATTGACAGACTATGTAGATGCTGACTTAGCCGGAAATGTCAACATCAGAAGGAGCACTACAGGGTATGTCTATACTCTAGGAGGTACTGCAGTGACTTGGGTTTCTCAACAATAGAAGATAGTTGCTCTCTCCACAACTGAAGCGGAATATGTTGCTGTTACGGAAGCCAACAAGGAGATGGTTTGGCTCCAAAGTTTCTTGGAAGAGTTAGGCAAGAAACAAGAAAAAATGTCTTGTATTGCGACAGTCAAAGTGCTATCCATCTAGCAAAGAATTCGTCTTTTCATTCCAGGACGAAGAACATACAATTGAGATATCATTTTATCCGGTCTCTTCTGGAAGATGGGATTTTGAAACTTGAAAAGATTAGTGGAGCTCAAAATCGGGCATACATGTTGATAAATACGGTGACTATGAACAAATTGAGGTTGTGTTCAGCTTTAATGGGCATGCTAGAATAACAAGACTAGAAATGTTGTTGTATTGATCGAGATGTGAAGACAGATTAAAATCAGTCTTCAAGTGGGAGATTGTTGAAAGTCAAAGAAAATTAGGCAGCACATGAGCTACTAAATGGGCGGCTGCAAATGTTCAAAATTAGGCAGCCATTTTGGTTGAATTTTGTGCATGGGAGAATTGCATTTTAGTCCCTTCACTTTAGGGTATTTTCAAAGATTAGTCCTTAATCTTCAACTATAAATACCCTTACCCATTTAACTTCAAAATAATCCCCAAATCATTCTAGCTCTCTCTCAAGTGTTTTTGTAAACACCTGTAAATTTTCTCCCTTTAGTAAAAAATCTGCAGCATCCCTTTAGATCTTAAATTTTCAATAAGGTCCCGAGACACAGGCATAATTGGCTGAACTCCGTTATCAATTTCGGGTATTATTTTTCCGCTTTTATTTTGCATTCTCACTAATCTGGTTATAGGAAATTACTTGTTTTATTTTCCAACAACATCGACGACCTTATTGAAAATGAATTAAAATTTTAATGATTGTATTAAAAGTTGAATGACCAAAATGCAAACGCCTTAAAAATTTAGGAACCATTTATATACTTTACCCTTAATTTTATTATAATCAAGATTTTATTGTAAATATATACATTTTTAATAACATTTTCGAATTTCAATCGAAAATGTAATATACTTCATAGTACTTTCAATAAAAAAAATTAACATTTTAGATTGCACTCAATTCCTACCATTTCTTAACTTTAAAAATAAAATTATCAAAATGTAAAATTACAATGAGAATGTTGTATTACCTTATTTGATTTGTTTAGCAAAAATGTAAAATTATAATATTTGGTTGAAAGAATATAAGATTACTTAAATTTATATTTTACTAAATTATCATTATGATATATATATATATATTTTAAAAAGGTTAAGCTTTAATATTACATTATAAATATTTGAATGAAAATTCATAGAAATATTATAATCTTTTTACTATCTAATTTTGGAGAAAAATACATTTAATATATAATTAATATATCAAAATTATATTTCTAAATAAATTTTCATAAGTATCATATTTATTTATAAAAAATAATATTATAATCTTGAGTGAACAAAAATATTTTTTTAATAAATTAAAATTAAATATTATTTTAAATAATTAATTTTTTACAATAATATTATTTTTCATCACATAAAATATAAATAATTAATATATTAAATATTATAAATATAAGATAATTTAAATTTATTAATATTTTATTAAATTAAACTCTTTGTATAATAATTATTATTATGTTTATAATATTGAGTATAATACGAAAAGTAAGAATTGAAAAAACCCATTATAAAAGAATTTATTAATTTAAAAGCTTTCTTGAATCATGTTCAAAATGATAGGAATTGTATAACACTTTAAGAATTTAAAAGTAACATCGTTTTTATTATTTTAACAAAAAATACTACTAATAATAAAAAATTATTTTTTAATAATAATATTTTTCCTAAAACTAAATACACAGAAATGTATATGTTTGTTAAAAGAACTAAATCAATTCTACTACATACATAGAGATATATTACCCAAATCCTTAGTAGGCCACACCGAATTGAGTCAACATACTCACCGAATACATCTTCAATTAACTCGACCAAGGGATAAACCCGGCAAATCCCAAATAAATAGTTTAGGCAGAGGAATGAATGAAACAGTTTCAGGCTAATTTTCTTAGGAACCAAACAAGGAAGAGACAATCCGAAGACGAAATCTAAATCCAGAGGAAGTTAGCCTCCAAAGCCGTAAAGAGTTCGGCCCTGTCTTTTCAAAGCATAAACCACGTCCATCGCAGTAACCGTCTTCCTCCTAGCGTGCTCGGTGTAAGTAACGGCATTGCGGATCACGTTCTCCAGGAAAATTTTGAGAACGCCACGCGTTTCTTCGTAAATGAGACCGCTGATCCTCTTCACCCCGCCTCTCCGAGCCAACCTTCGGATCGCCGGCTTCGTGATTCCCTGAATGTTGTCTCTGAGAACCTTCCTGTGCCTCTTGGCTCCTCCCTTTCCCAGTCCTTTGCCTCCTTTTCCACGCCCTGACATTCTTCTTTCCTCTCTTCTTCTTTACCAAACCAGGATTTTGGATTGGATTGATTTTTGACGATGAAACCTTTGTATACTTATAGCGTGAAGGATATTCATTTATAGCCGTTGGATGATAATCCAAATCGGACGGCTTAAGATACAGATCCGTGTGTTCTGGCTCCTTTTGGCGCGGGAGAAAACTGGACAAAGAAGTCTTTAGATTTTGCATTTCTAAAATTTCCCGAAACCGCGAGAAAGGTACGATTGATAAGCGTCATTTTTACAGCAAATTTAAAATAAAAGGTTTAATTTTGATTTTAGTCTCTATACTATTTAGCAATTAAATATTTAATTTTCTACCTTGTGGATTTTATATGATCTTGTGTGCGATCGAGTAACAATAATTTTTTCTACTTCATCACTTTAAAAGCAACAATATTATAAAAATAGATTGGTTATGTCAAATATATATTATTATAAAGGTCCAAATTAGGTTTCATGCCATTTGATTCAATGATACGAAGGTTGTGATTATCATTTCTTTTTAAAAATAGTATTCAAACTAAATTAGTATTTTTAATAATAAACAATGTAATTGATTGAGTTTAGCTCGTTTAGTACTATCTACAATACAGTATATGATAAAAACGTAAGATTAAACACATGGTAATTTTTATGTTTTGCTTGATGTGGTATTTTTTTCAAAGGTAAAAAGGTCATAGAGGTCCCTATATTTTAAAAAAATCAGTGTGGTCCTTTTATTATTTTTTCTCTCAATATGGCCATCAAACTTAGAAAACAAACCCAATGTGATCCTTTGACCAACATTTTTCGTCGTTTGACTGTTACATTATTGACGTGACAGTTTATGATGTTGACGTGAAGGTTTACGGTACTGACGTGACAATCTATCTACCATGTTTGAGTTATCAATTTAGTTCATCTGTCATGTTATCTCCTACGTTATCACCTATCATGGACTATCACGTCAACACCGTGAATCACCACATCAGCACCATGAACTACCATGTTGACACTATAATGGTTAACGGCAAAAAATGTTGGTCATAAGATCACATTGGGATTATTTTTTGAGTTGGAGGGTCACAATGAGAAAATATTAATATGAGGGTCACATTAGAACTTTTTATTTTATTTTATAAAATTACAATAACCTCTCATGCGTTTTTGTCTTTTCTTAAGTTAATGTTACGTTTTTAAAGCTCTTGGGGCAATTTGACCAAACTTGTTAGGTTTAGGGGCCAATTTGAACGGAAAAAAAGTTTAGAAACCAAATTGACTCAAGTTAAAGGGTCTATTTGAACAAATTTATTAAGTTCAAGGGACAACTCGACCAAAGTTCACAAGTTCAAGGGTGATTTGTGTTTTTAAGCCCTTAATTTTGAATTATCATATTTGGGAGAATTGTCAAACTGTTCCATGCGCAACCTCATTTGATTCCCACAATCACCTCATGAATTACCTCTGAATTCTTAAAGCTTCAACAGATTTTTAGCTAAGGGATTCACTTGTTTATGTATAATCCGGAGAAAAAGAAAAGGTGAAATGTTGCCAAAAACAAAATACTTTAATTAATATAAAAGCAACTTGTAACATAGCTTGTAACACACAATGAACATGTTTTGTTAGAGGAATTTGAGTTTTCCATGGGACAGACTGGACTTAACATGCTGCAGGTTACATGTTGCTTTCTCCGGTCCTTTCAACCCGGAACACGTATTGGTGGCCCCTAATGTAACAGCGAAGTAAAGGTAGATGGTGCAGAGGAATGCCAAGACTCCCAATGCTGTTAACAGGAACCTATGCCTCTCGACGAGGGTTGACCAGTTCCCAAACTCATCTTTCGAGAATTGCCTTCTCGTCGACGCTGACATTCGAAGGGGAGAAGATACGAGTCCGTCGAGAACCATAGCTTTGAGATTGAAAAGACCTCAACCAATGTGACCTGAAATCATGCAGCAAGTTGCTTTAAAGGAGAGCTCAGAAAAGAAAGACAAGAACATGTAAAACCATATTTCTTCAATACAGCAGTCCCGACTCCAGAACTCGAATCAATCAAATGTGGCCAATCCTGTGTGTGAGTATATATATATGTACACAAATATGTAGCGGCAGAATCCAGTTACATGTGTAAAACTCTTTTATTTACACTGATTCAAGATCATTGGATGAATATAAATGAATGATTGAGATACTCGGTTGAAAAAGAGTAGATTTTTATGGGTAAAAAAGGAGATGATACATATAACATATATATATATATATATGAAAGCATTTAGAACAAAGACTGAATCTATTATCTCTATTGAGGCATCCAACCCCAATGGGAAATTTACAGAAAAATGTCAAAAGAATAACCCAACTCCAACTCTTTGAAAGAGAACAAATGATTAATTTCCCTTATAAAGCTTTCAAATGTATCAAAACAGGAAGAAAACCAAAATGATCAATCATCAAACAAATATATATGCACATACACACACACATATATATATGTGTGTGTGTATCTAAAGAATTTAGGTTTGTAAGCGTTGAATTGTGACATAGACAAAGAATAGTTTTCCCTTTCACCTGAAACCTAAAACGTTCCCATTCCTGACCGATCGTAGCAGATGCTTTCTAATCCTTTGATCCCATTAGAGAAATAATGTAACCAATTTCAGTTCTTTAAAAAAAACCCAGAAAAGAGAAAAACGGGATGATCATACCAAATCTACATGAAAAAAAAACAGATCCCATCAATGGATACATCTAGCGAACATACGTTAAATCCAAAACCCATACGTAACCTCTAACAATAAACGAAACCCAGATCTGTAGAATAGTAAAAACAAAGATATAACACTTACAGTTGAGAAAATGAAGGTAGGAAGATCAAAGGGAATAAGCAAAGAATGAGTAAAATTGTGGATCTTTAATATGTCATCGGCTCATTCTCCCCATTTCTTCTCCTTGATTTCTCTCTTTGGAAGGGACGTTACAATGTAAAAACGAGAAACGCAATGCAAGTGGTTACTTTATGGCCAAAATCCTTTCACCAACTACGAAATTATTTACGTTTCCCACTAAAGAAATGGCTTTTAATTGGGGCCAAAATGAGGACAAAAGTTTTTTTCTTGTTGGACGTTTAAATTTATTAGATATCGTAATTTTATTCTTGATAAACATATTAAGTATATGGATACGAATAATATTACTCATTTCTGTTTTTTCAAAATTATAATTCTATTTTCAAATTTTAAATATTTATTTTTAATTTCTATCTCTACGAAATAAACAAGTATATTTTTAATTTATTAAAATTTAATCAGTATAATTTATGAAATTTGGGAGGTATCTCGGTGAATAAAAAGTTTAGCAACTTGAATTATTTTTTTGAAGGAGAAACTTAAATTATTATTGTTAAATGTATACTATTTTATGAGACAGATGTGTAACAAACTAAAATAATCTAGTCTTACACGAACTAAACAATTTCAATGATTAAAAAGAATGACTATTACTCCTAATTCAAGTTCGAACACTAAAAATTACAAGAAATATTAAAAAAAATATTATCCTTGTAACCACCCTAGATTAATAAAAGAAAAATAAAATTCTAATCTTTTGACTAATTTGCTATTTTATTCTTTTCCCCATTATATGATTTGATGAATTTCTTTTCACTCTCATCATTAAGTAATATCGCAAGCTAAAAGAAATAAACTTCAAAGAATTCTCGATGAGCCTCTATTTATCACAAACAATTTAGATTCAACACTCATTTACTTTTCACTTGCTTCGTCCCCAACAATGTCCATGTCAAGTGAGACCTCGTATCCACCTACTTCGATCAAAACTATAAATCAAATAAGGTAAAGATTCCTCCATCAGTCCTCAAAATCTCCAGCATTTTCCAGTAAATAGTTAGCTGCCAATTCCTCATTCCGATCGCAAGCTAAAAAGGCTTCAATGACAAGGGCTCTATCGAATCCCATTGCTTCAAGCTACAAAGAGAACAAATTATCAATCATTGAAAGTTCGAGAGAGAGAATCTGAAATAAAATAGGGAAAAAATAATAAAAAACTGTTTCTCGTACTCGTTCAATAGCCTCCTGTTCTGCGGGGGTAACATTGATAGCATGAGGCATCTCCTGGTCAGCCTGATCAAACATGTCCCTGAAAGCACCAACTTTAAATTAACATTAACAGTGATGGTAAGTCGACTGCCTAGATGGCATGGTGATATCGAATAAGTACCCACCCTTCAGAACCTTCGGGTGGCTCGTTTATTAACTGAAGAAATTCTGCCTGATGCTCTTGAATTAGTCCTAAAAGCTGGGGGTTTTGCTTTCCTAGCTCTTGTAGCATGGGCTGTCAAAAGAAGCAAATCAAATACATATATGTTTTGCTAGTTATTAAGGGGTGTTGTTATCACACATCTGTTAGATATTAAGTTTCATATGGTTTTATAATCAAATCGAGTCTTTCCTTAATTATCAATTTGTTTTAGGCTGATGCGAGTATCATCACTGGGTTGTGTTCTGTGTTTTAAAAGGCGTGAGGCGCTCCAAGGCGATTAGCTACCCGAGAGCCTCAATTTTTTGAGGCGCTTTGAGGCGAGAGATTCCTGTCTAATCAACTTATTGCAAACTGGCTTCAGGTTGGAATGCTTAATGCTAGTTGAAACATAGAGATGCAAACCTGTAGAATTTGGGGGTTTGATTGCACCATTGTTCGCAAAGCTTGGAACTAAATTCAAGCAAAGATGCAATTAGTATTTGTAAAATAACTAAAATTTTCATAGTTTAATGGAAAACAATACGACACCTGTTGGTTGTTTCTGAGGAAATCTAGGGATCCAGCTCCACCAGCCGCAGCACCAGAAAGTGTTTCCTAGTATTATTTCAGCAAGTTGGGAATAAAAATAAAACCAACCAACCCAATAATGAGGAAAAAATTCTGTGGTAGTACATAAAAATCTAACATTTTACCTGAGGAAACATATTTAATGGTGATGAATTAGGAGCCCCTGAAACAGGAGCAACAGGGGCTGCACCAGTTTCAGTAGTCTGACTTGTAGAAAAATTAGCCACTGGTACAGCCACTTCAGCTGATTGAGGAATTCCCTGAATATAAAATATAACCATAACCGCATCCAAAAGAATACAGTAGTTTAATGTTAGAACAGATACATTCACAAAGTTTTAGACATACAGAATATAGATAATCCACTGCTCGTTCAGGGTTGTTATAAGCAGCTCGAAGTGCATGTGTTACTGTTTCCTTGTCCCAATTGCCACCACCCATATCCATCAATTGTTGGATAGTCTGTTCAAGATTATTTCCAGCAACTAAATTGGAAGCAGCTTGACTATAGGTATCACTATGCTGACTGCAACAAGTTAAGTTAAAGGATTTTCCAATTACTTCCAAAATTTTCAGAAAATACCAGTAAGAAGATGTGGCAGGAAGGGAGGGAGAGATCCATTATACAATTCTTTTAAGGAAATAAAAAAGGATGAACAATCAGATAACACCTGGCAGTTTCTCACAATGCCTAGAAAACAGAACTATGTACCACAACAACAAAGCAGCTGAGTACGAATCGATAAGCAAACTAAAAATCGGCAAATTATTTATCAGCTGACAGTTGCACTGACAAATTAAGGGGAAAAATAAAAACTGACAGGTTAGAGTCATGTAGGTTAAAACAGCGTCTAGGGAACCAGCCTAAGAGAACAAACATGATCTTCACATCTTATACTTTTTCTGGTTTCAATTAAGGATATGGCTGAATCTAGTTGTAAATGTTAGGTATGTTCATACTTCATACAGCTTCAATAATTACTGTCCAGCTGGCTTACCAGAAATTTGAATGTTCTAATTTTATTTATTTTCCCTCAATGATACTATAATAAAGTTCTTTAGTAAAAGTTGGAAATATCAACCAAATGGAAATCAAAGGTGTCCCTAGCAACTCCTATTTCTTGTCTCTTTCCTCAGGTAGCAAAAAACTAGTCACAATAAGTGGTAGTAAATACTTGTATATCATAAGCTTCAGTATCAGGAGATCCATGCACATAGTATCAAGAATCTATTGAACCAATATACATGTGCCACATACTTGACCATAGCAGTATCTGAAGTAGATGTGGTGCTCTTTGATGCCACCCTACAAGGATAAAATATGATTGCATTAGATGAGACTTGAGAGCAACTTATCTAAGGAAGAGGGAGGGAGGGCTGAGGATGTCTATGCTACTCCAACTCTTAGTTAAGCACCCTTGACCAACACATATCCAAATATGGATATAAGAATATCTCCAAATTCATAGAGAAACTTGGGAGGGGTGAGGTTGAACATATCTGAGTAACATAGGAAGAAGACTTGCAGGAGGAAGAAAAAAATTTCAGAATTAACTTACTGTGCTTGTGCAGGAGCTACTGCAGCAGGTGTAGAATTAGAAGCAGGTGCCGTTGTAGAGGGAGTTGACAAAGCAGGCTGTTAGGGAAGAGAAGAAAAAGATGTTTATATACATGAACCGGAACATAAAGCTCAACTTAACAAGAAAAAACTGATCAAAAAGAATTTGGACACCTGAGCTGAGGAGGCCACAGTTGAACCCAAAGACTTGCTCTGTAAGATAAACCAATGAATTGAACATATGCAATTAATATAAAATACAGTATGTACATACAAAGTGGAATTAAGCTATTAATTCGAAAATTATTCCAGAGATATCAAACTACTCTACTACACAGAAGAAACTAATAAAATCAATCATGCAAAAATGTCAAACCAATTGTTGAAAGCATTATTTCTTCTTTAAAATACGTGTATTAAGCTATTATTTCAATTTTTTTTTTGGCAGAATGAAGCCTACAACTTTCAATGAAAGCTCTCTATAATACAAAATACACTACTTTCAAACTATAAAGGCGATTTGCCAACGGGAATTGCAGGAGAAATCAATTCAATAACAAAAATCAACCATACATAAGAATAAATAAATTATTAAAACTACTGAAGATAGGGCATTACTTAAAAAACTTTTTCATCAAATTCCCATCATGAAGATTAATCACATACCCAGGTAACCATAAAAAAACATAAAAGTGAGAAATACATTAATTGAATTTTTTTTATTCTATAAATACCTTGCTAAGCATGACTACCAGAAAGCCATCTTCGGAGACTTTATTTTCAGCTAAAGTGGTTTCATCCTTCAAAACCTTCCCATTATGAATCATAAGCTGTTGCCCACATGGATAATTGTCTTTCCCTTGTAAATCTTCTATGCTTTTCTTCACTGCCATAACCTAATTTTTTATATAAAAAAGAAGAAAATTGAAACTTTTAGCCAACTTTTTAAACCCTAATAGTAACATAATTGATCAGGAACAAAAAAAAAAGGAAATGAGAAGGTGAGAGGGGGCGTTACAGTATCGTTGGGCTGAACCCTAATTTCAAAGTGACTGCCTTTTAGGGTTTTGACTGTAAGCTTCATTTCGGCGAATTGAGAGAGAGAAGGCGGGTAGGTTGTTTCAGATCGGGGATTTGAAACACAGAGAAAGGAGAGGGAATCCTGGAAAGGGGATTTTATATGGACCCAAAGCAAATCACAATAACTAGGGAAATAAGTTTTCTTTGGGTAAACTACAAGTTTAATACTTATACTATCAGTTTTGATCCGTTTTCCCCTAAACTTTCAATATTTTCAAAATCATTTCGGCGAATTGAGAGAGAGAAGGAAGTAGGTTGTTTCAGATTGGGGATTTGAAACACAGAGAAAGGAGAGGGAATCCTGGAAAGAGGATTTTATATGGACCCAAAGCAAATCACAATAACTAGGGAAATAAGTTTTCTTTGGGTAAACTACAAGTTTAGTATTTATATTATCAGTTTTGATCCGTTTCCCCTAAACTTTCAATATTTTCTAAAATCATATCTAACGTTTAGTTTTTGTTTCGTTTTAATATCTCTCCATTAAAAACTTAACGGTGATCTACACGTGGCATATTTTTTACAGGTAAATTACATCATTCATCACTTAATTGTCTTATCACTCCTATTTTGGTCATTAAAGTTTAATTTTTTTAATTTAATTACTTAACTTTCAAATTACTGTTAATTCAATCACTATAACTTTTAAATTTATTTTTTTATTTTTAATTATATATTAATAAAATAATAATAAATAAAATTTCATGTCACAAAAACTATTAATAAAATAAAATTGAGTGATTAAAATAGGAGCAATTTGAAAATTGAGTAATTAAATTAAAAATTTTTAAACTTTATTATCAAAATAGGCGTGAGAAGATAGTTGAGTGATAAATGATGTGATTTAATCATAAATATATGCAGTGTTGTTAAGTTTTTAATAGCAAGATACTAAAATGAAACTAAAGATAAACATTATATATGCTTTTAAAAAATTAAAAGTTTAGGTACGAAAATCGATCAAAATTGATAGTATAGGTACAAATTTCAGTATATTATTTATATTATTGAATTTTTAATTATTTTTATTATAATAATTAACTTTGATTTTGGTTTCACTTATACTATTAAATCGTTAAACTTCAAATGATGTGAAGAAATAGATAAAATCATATCGTTTTAACGCGACTACTGATGATTAAAACGATGCATTTTTAAACAATAAACTTTAGAAGTATATCAATCTTATCACAAAACTTTTCAACAATTTTTTTAGACATTGTAATTTTATGGTCGCAATTGGCAATGAATCGTCGTCCGTCAACGATCATAACTCGTGGCAATATCGATATCAAAATATTCTTATTTCACTCATTTTTTCTCATAGGATTGATCACAAAACTCACTCAAATTGATGAAATTAAATAAAAAATCATTTTTAGGGGTTTAACTATTTTTTTTTTAGATTTGAGGGTTTTAGGTTGTTTATTAAAAAAATTGAAGGGTGAAAATTATTATTTTGAGAAGATAAACCTCAAAATTAATCTCATCAAACGATCATCAGAGGATATCAAAGTGTTAACACCTTGAATCTTTAGATAGATTTTCATTGATTTTAAGTGAATTTCATGAATAATTAATTTAATGAAAAAAATGGGTGAAATGTTAATATTTTGATATTGATTTTGTAGTAAATGGTAACTAGTGACAGAGACGATTGACTACCAAAGGCGGCCGAAAAGATTTAGTACCTAAAAATGAACAATTTTCAAGTTTAATGACAAAAAGTAATACATTCTTAAAGTTCAACACCCGTGCTAAAATGATATAAATTTTGTCTGCATAATCATATTGATAAATTTACTACATCATCCTATAGTTAAAATTTAATAATCTAATTGTATAATTGAAAATAAAATCAAAGTTTAATATTATAACCAAAGTATTTAAAATGTAAAGGTATAAAACGTTATACTATCTAAAAATCAGTTATATATAATGTAATTTATTTATTATTATGATTGTAGTTAATATTTGATAGCACCATGTGTTAATTTTTACATAATCTATCGTTTTTTAATTTCAAATTCTATAAATTAAAATCTTAAAATCTAAACCATAATTTATAATACTTAAAATATTAAACTCTAAAAATCTTAAATAATTATATCATCAAAAAATCTAATACATATTATGTTATCTTTTTTCTTTAAAAAAATTAACGTTATGTGTATCAGATTTTTTTAATTATTTCATTTATTTATTTTATTAAATTTAACATGTTGGTTGAGATATAATAATCATTTGAGATTATGAGATCAACTTTTATTATATTCCAATCAGCTTGTTAACATCTGACTCATATTATAATTATTTTTAACAAAAAATGAAGAGTTTGAAACATATGAATAGCTATTTTATAACTTTTAATAGTCGATAAACTCAACAAAATAACGACCTTTAGTAAAAGAATAAATTTGAAACTTTTAATAGTCAATTGACTGAAAAAAATAACATCCTATAATCATGGGATCATTTGTGTACTTTATCCATTTTATTAAAATCTCTGTAAAATTAGCAAATTTATAACTTAAAAAGAAAAAAAATTGTAATATACAATCCCTATCGTCTGATTACCTTAAAACAAAAAATATTATTTATTATTTCTTCTTTCAGCTTTCCTCTCAAAAATTCGATAAAGATGTTTTGATTTTCGGAAAATTAAAAAACTAAAAAATTAAATTAGAAATTCAAGAAGATTTTAAAGGTGTTTTTATAAAAAAAAATTCTTGAAGTTTATTCATAATTTTTAAAAGATATTATGACGTGTTTAGATAATAACGATAGAGTGACAGAAAATAATAATATCAAAGTTGAATGTTTAAATCAAAATTTAATGATGAAAATATAAATATAATTAAAGGAAGGATAAAAGTTTTGTAATTTACCCATAATTTATTTGTGAAAAAGGATAGTGATGACAAATGAACAACGTTGGTTTAAATGGAAAACAGAGGAAAAAGGGAATTGACAGAGAAATCAAATACCAAGTGGTGGGATTCCAGCATGCAAACGTTATTTGTTTCCCAGTTTGAGAGGCGATCCGATTGCATCGCTCTCTCTTTCACGGTAAAGCAAATTCAATGTATCATTTTTTTTCTCTTTCTCTTTTTCCACCATTCTTTTTCTTTTCACGTGTGAATGAATACCCTCACATTGCACATTAATCAATTACTGTAAACGTCCTTTCAGAAACCCATCTTTCTGTTTTTGCTTTGGGTTTTCTTTTATACGCTTCAATGTTATGACCACTCATGTTTGCTTGTCTATTTTATTATGCAGAGGAGTTTTTTATTTTGAAATCATGGAATGTGGGTTCTAAATCAGCTGTTATATTTTGGAGGGTTTCAATAGGCTTCACTTCAGGTTGGTTGATTGATGTGAAACCGAATGCGTATGTATTTTTGTGTTTATATTATATTTTGTCATTGAATTTGGATCCTTATGGGATTTCTTACTTGATATTTGATTGTTTTTTTCTTCTTCAATATTCATGTTAGCTTCTATCATGCTACAATTTTTTTTTTCTTCTTCTTCTTTATTGTTGTCATTTTGAGGATATTGGCTGCCGGGATTTATCTTTTATTACAGAGGCAAGATTGAATCATGTTGTTTATGTGGTTCTGTGATAGTGAAGTAGAAAGGTCTAAACTATAATGGAGAAGAAGAAGTATCCAATCGGGCCGGAGCATTATACACTGTATGAGGAGGTGGGGCAAGGCGTTAGTGCCTCTGTGTACCGTGCTCTCTGTATACCCTTGAACGATGTTGTTGCAATCAAAATTCTTGATTTTGAACGTGAAAATTGTGATCTGGTAATCCCTTAGTTCCAATTCTGCATGTGGTTTTTGTTTTTACTTGTTCAATTTGATTTTTAAGGTTTGCCTTTTTTGGGGGATCAAGTTTTGGTTCATCCTCTCCACCCATCATATTCTGCCTGTTGATTTTGCTCAATTTCAAGCTGGACCTATATAAAGCATTACTGCTGTTTTGTTTTTAACTCATGAACTACTTTGGTATGCTTTTGCCTTGCTTTTGTGAATATGGAGAGATGATACTATATTTCTGTAGATGTTGCATATATTATATTGGAAATCTTCAAAGGGTCTTTTTCTCCCTTTTGTTTGGACTTAGCTAATAACGATTAATAGCTGTTTTGACATTATTCTCTAATGTGTTTTCTCAGAATAACATTTTCCGTGAGGCACAAACAATGGTCCTAGTTGACCATTTAAATATTCTTAAATCACACTGCTCCTTTGTCAACGACCATAACCTATGGGTTGTCATGCCATACATGGCTGGGGGATCTTGTCTTCATATACTGAAGGCTGCATATCCTGACGGTTTTGAGGAGGTGGTTATAGCAACAGTACTTCGTGAAGTGTTGAAAGGTTTAGAGTATCTTCATCAACACGGGCACATACATCGGGATGTTAAAGTAAGTACTTGATATTCATCATGACTTAGAGCTGCTGTGAATTCTATTTTTTAGTTATTATTTCACTTTGTCGCATAACTTGATCGCAACGCATGAACTCAGTTTTTTCATGGCTGGGTTTATTTCATCTGGAAATTCTCTATAATTGAACAGTTTTAGTTTACAAGTTAAGAGTTGCATACATTCTGAAAACAAGGTAAGCGAAAATAATTATTTTCTGCTAAGAATGAGGTAATTATGATTTCTGCTTTATTTATTTAAATTGGTTATTTAGAACTGCAACGAGAACATTTAATTATTATGATTACTGGGTAGTGAGCCTCGTTAATTTCATAAAATCTTGCACAGTTGTTTCTTATGTATAAATCAAATACTTTGGTTGATAGTTCATCCATGATCTTTTCCAATAGGCTGGGAATATTCTCATTGACTCACGCGGTGCAATCAAGCTGGGAGACTTTGGTGTTTCAGCTTGCATCTTTGATTCAGGAGATAGGCAACGCATGAGGAATACATTTGTGGGAACACCATGCTGGTATGCTTACATTATTACGTCTACATTCCATTGAGTTCCTAGTTCTTCGATAAGAATTTGGAGTGCCAAATAATTTTTCATTAACCTGACTAGTTATATCCTTAATTTTTTGCCCACTAGTTATAGCATCTTAATTTTGAAGAGATGCCCCAATGGACATTTTGTCCGGTAAGTGTCAATTGTTCAATGCTTCTTATCATCCTTAGTCTAATTTCCTCTCCGTTGCTTGCAGGATGGCACCTGAGGTTTTGGAGCAACTGCATGGTTATGATTTCAAGTCAGTCTATTGTGTTCTCAAAATAGCGTCTTTGGTTCATATTCCTTAGGTGACATCATATTGATGTTTATTTGTCAATACCCTGCAGGGCAGATATCTGGTCATTCGGTATAACTGCACTAGAGCTTGCTCATGGCCATGCACCATTCTCAAAATATCCCCCAATGAAGGTGATAGGTTTAATCTAATCAAAATCCTTACTGAACACCAAAATTTACTGATTTAAAATACCTCTTATTCTTAGGTATTACTTATGACCTTGCAAAATGCACCTCCAGGCCTGGATTATGAAAGAGATAAGAAATTTTCTAAGGTATTTAAGAAATCCAAAATTCTCGGTAGTTGGATTTAATTAGATACTGTTATGTGTTCATCTTGTGTTTCTCTTCTCTTTTCAGTCTTTCAAGCAAATGATTGCTAGCTGCTTGGTGAAAGATCCTATAAAAAGACCTTCAGCCAGGAAATTATTAAAACATTCTTTCTTTAGGCAAGCAAGGTCAAATGATTATATAGCAAGGACACTTCTTGATGGATTGCCTGCTCTTGGTGATCGTATCCAGGCATTGAAGGTCAATGTGCTACTTTTAGGCATACGGCTCTTATTTTGTTTAGCCGTAAATTATGTTTCAATTTCTATCTTATTCTTACAACTTTTATCATTTTTAAAAATAGAGAAAGGAAGAAGATATGCTTGCTCAAAAGAAAATGCCAGATGGTGAAAAAGAAGAATTATCGCAGGTTAGAATTTTAAAAAATTTAATGCAAAGAGTGGACTTTATAATGCTCTTGTGCATTTGCACGCATCTGTGTTTTTGAATGTGGCTATCACCAAATCATGATAATAGAATTCAAACCCTTGGTTAGATTCATGATATTATTTGGCCCACAATATGGTGCTACTGATATTATTTGTCAATGTGAAAGTTTATATTTAATTTGTGAATTATTGTTTTCCTTATATGTATAATGTATTTTACTAGGTTGGTGATGTTCTAGTTTCTTCCTCATCAGTTCAATATCTTGTAGTCTGGGATTTGAAAAATCTGAGTTCATGATTTTTCTGTGCTTTTGTGCTCATGACCAGAATGAATATAAACGTGGGATAAGTGGATGGAATTTCAATCTTGAAGATATGAAAGCTCAGGCTTCCCTGGTATATAGCAATGATTACTTTCCATTTTCTTTTGGTGAAACAATTTAGGGTTTTTTTAAGTACTTTTGAAACTTGTAAATGCTTATCAGATCCATGATGATGACCTTATATCTGATGCCAGCCAAGGAGGGAGCTCAAATTCTTTGCTGTCACTCGAAGGACGAGATAAGCAATCAGAATGCCAGACCTCTTCTCAAGCTACAGGCAAGGTATTTCAATATATAATCTTGTGTTTTTTGTCGTCATTTTTGGGGTTTTGTTCTATCTTTCTTTTGGGTGGTTCATGATGGTCTAGCTTTCACAGGAAAATAGTGATCTGGTCCAGAATCAACCAGCTTCTTCAGCAGCAATTGATCCAGCAGTAACTATTACCAAGTATTTTTTTAGATATTTGACGGTCTCGCTATATTACATTTTTACCTCTACTCTTACGTCATTTTTAATCACTTTTGTCATAGTATAGTTCGTAAAGAACATAGCAGTAGTCATGCTTGTGCTGAACAAATTTTCAATAGTTATCTTTTCCCATAAATGTCACATTAAGACTCATAAATTGAGTAAAGCTCTTTTAGTGGAGAAAACGTAATTACATTTGTGTATGGAACATTAGGTTTGAAAGATCTGATGATGACTCAAGTGGTGCTAGCGCCTCCCATGAACTGAATGTGACTTCACATGCTAATGATGATTGTGTTGAAAGTAAACTTGGCGAGAAGCCTGTTCTGGAGCTCAATGGAAAATCTTCTGATAACATGATTAAACATTTGCATCAAAGGACAGCAACAATTCCGGGGAGCATCACTATACCAGAAACCATTGTTCTTCCAGTTAAAGGAGAAAGGTTTGTACTATACCAACATAATTCTATGTTACACAAATATTGGGTCAACCGTCTACTTAATTCACTTGTGTCATTTTGTAAACTTTCTCAATGAAGGGTTCTTTATAAGAATTCCATTCATTACCTGTTGGCCCTTTGACGCAAAAAATGCTATTTTGCTTTTATCTTGGCAGTGGAATTGTTATTATAAATCACTGTTTATTATTGGGCAAATGGATGCATGCTTTCAAATTTGGTAGAAAAAAAGACAAATCTCATGATCTTTGTATTCCGGTGTGATTTGAGTTGTGTGTATCAGATGGCTACAATGTTTGGCGAAGTTGCAAATCTTTAGATATCAGGGAAACATATATCTAAACTTGTATTGAGGTTGAACTATCATCCCACCACCGTGTTTGCGCATATTAACTGTAATATTATTTTAATATTTGTAATTTCATCCATGTATGGAGTTTATCATACTATATTTATGTAGCACTCATTTTATGAAGTTTTCAGTGATAAGCAAAATCAGCACCAGAATATTTCTGGTGGCAATGGGGCAGCGGTTCCTGCAGGAGGAGAGGATACTCTTTCAGAGCTTCCCTGTAAGGCTTCTAAATCACCAGGCAAGTGTTAATTGGTCATTCTCACCTTTTCCCCCTGCAAAAGGAGTCTCCAGTTTTAGCGATTTCGTTTATATTTTGTTAATTTGCTCTCCTGCCATTTCAAGTTGATTTACTTCCCCAATAATAAAGTGTCATTGTAGGAGTGACCAGTGATGAAGAGAAAGCAAAGCCACCTGTCGTTCAACAAAAGGGACGTTTCAAAGTTACATCCGAGAATGTTGGTTTGGAAAAGGTGACCTACATCTTTCTGGTATGGCTGTTGCTTCTCTTGTCATATAATAGGAGATGAATTAACCTTCTCTTTTCAGGTTACTGCATCTCCTTTACTACAAAAGAGTCGCAGCATGCAGGTTGGTACTTCGGAGGTTAGCACATGTGTGCCAAATTGCCTATTAGACCAATTGTGGAACCTCATTTTATAATTCTCCATTAAATGACAATTAGGCATTTGACTTGATTTATAAGAGAATAATTTATAGCCCTTACAAGCTTTTGTAACACAACACAATAGTTAGTCCTAACAAGTATCACTAAAAGAAGATATATGGTTACCACACTGATAAGTTCACAGTCCTTACAATATAAGTACTGTTAATTTGTTATGGCTGCCTAGTTGAGAACTATATTAAGAATTTTTGTTCTCCGAAGTAATATCTAAGAAGAAACTGGTCACCTCGGAAAAAGAACAAGGGTAGGACATTGATCTTGGAAGTGTATATACCTTTTCATCACCCTATTACATGAAGAATGCGTCACTTGCCTTAAAAAAAGAAGATATCTATACTTGTATTTTGTTGCTTACAATTTATATAATGTTATGGGTTATGCAGGTGTTGACTACAAACCCTCCGACTTCACTAGCAGCAACATCTGATCCTTCATCATCAATTCCTGCTGCCAATCATCTTTTCCCATTGTTACAGTCTGTTTTGCAGACAAACATTCTTCAAAGGGTATTGTTTAGCCTTATGTTTGTGGGAGTTTTACTTTACCCGGTGACTAATGTTGTTCTACTGGCATATTTTTGTCAACAGGAGTATATCCTCAACGTAATGAAGCAAGCTTGTGCTGGAGACCCTATAGGTTCAAAAATTGATGCTCCTTAAAATATTACTTCTATTCCTCTCTTTTATAAATTCAAGTTTTTTGATCTTACACCTTTTTCTCCACTACTTAGCTAACCGTGCATTCGAGGGAGTAGGTGTACCAGCTAATGTGCGAGTCACAGAGAAATCTTTGGTAAGTCATCAAGGGTTCTATCAGAAAAAGCCTGCCAAGATGATCCCGAAAATTATAGTCTCAACTCTCATAATAGAAGTTTGTGAATCTGCACTTGATGAATTACACATGCATTTTTGCCATACATGCATGAGATTTTATTTGGGATAAAAGGTAAACGAGTTAATCCGAGTTTTGACAACTTAAGCGTACATAAAATAGAAACGGAGAGTTTAATGGATGGCCATAATTTATTGCTGGCCACAGCATTTTACCTGTTATTAGCACTCTCAGATGTTTAAGTGATAACATCAATTTTACAAGAAACCTGTGGTCCCCCCCACCCTGAATATGCCTTTCGGGTTCTTTTATTATTTTTTACTGTTTTCTTCACATTTCAGTCATGGTTGGTGGGATTGGCTAGCTGCCAGCATTATTGTAATATAATACATTCAACTTTATCTTTACATCATTTTTAATCTCCCCACATAACTATATGGCTTCAAGTTTACACGATTGATTCTGAATTTGGTACTTTATCTTACATTAGTTATTGACGAAATGAATTTCTCGAATTGCAGTTGGAATTAGCTCATGACAGGGAAAAGGAGTTGCTGCATGAAATAACAGAGTTACAGTGGAGGTATTTGACATCATGAGGCGTTTGATATCTTTTTTTCTTCCATCCTTTTACCACCTGAAAAAAAAATATCTCTAAACCTCGGTTTGGCAATATATGTAGGCTCATCTGTACCCAAGAAGAGCTGCAAAAGTATAAAACAGAGAATGGTCAGGTTAGTTTCTGACATACTTAGCTCATCTGTCCTCACTTTTTCTTAGTTCAACCATGGCTGTCGATTCCAACCTCTGGATTTCAGGTGTAATTTTGCTTCGAATGAAAGCTGTGATGGAGGTCGAACCCGTTTCTTGAACAATACGATTCTAAGGAAAGCTAAAAGGGAGAAAGATCGAGAAACAAACATGAGCAAGAGATACATACAATAAGCTATAGGGAGCTGGATGTTATTTGTATCTTAAGCCCCTAACTTGTTGTAAATTACTCTTTATTATTTTTTCTTCTCTAAGATCATATATCTTGTAAATACTAAACGTAGCTTGAACATTGATTTCTAGGTACATTTTTCTCCTACTTTTAGGGGCACTTGGTACACCACTTCTCGACTGGAATTTATATCGTTCCGTTTCAATGCATTGTTTTTGGTTTATTGCATCTTTTAAAAATATTTAGGGTAGACAACACTGGTGGTCTCTTTTGTTTTACGTCTATTTGATTTGGTCACTGATTTTAAAAAAAAGTTATGTTTCGGTCACTTATGTCATTTTTTCATTATATTTTGGTGATTTGGTCATCGAGTCATTAACCTTCGTTACTTTGATGATAAAACATAATCATTAAAAAGTTAAATTTTAATTATCAATTTGGTTTTTGAAATATTTATAATATAAAAAATATTTTTATTTTAAAAATATCCATATTAATTATCTCTTGTTTCCCAAACTCTTTTAGTCGTCTCTCTTCAACCCTAGCTGCCATTGTTGCCGTTTTCCTGAGCTTTGTTGTCGTCTAGCTGCCATCGTTGTTGTTGTCCTGAGCTTTGTCGTCGTTGATCAGAGAGGATCAAGAACACCAACACAAGGAGCAGCTCTAGGAACAGTCCTTTTTACATACCAAGCCTTTTAGTTTTAGCATTCATCTAAGGGGCTTACACGAGAAGATAAACTGTCTAGTAATAATGCATCGAAAAACTATGCTCCTTGACTTTGTTTCTGCAATTCATATTCTTGGAGATATAGAAGCTCTTGAGTAACACCTTCGATTATCGAAACTCGACTTCTCCGATCTATTGATAAGATCCCCTCATCGACTTTACGGATCGAGTCCGGTCTTCTGTTCTCTGCCCGTTCTTCCCCTTCTCATTACGAAGATCTCTAAATCAAATAGGTTCGAAGAACAAGTAGGCATCGAAAGTGAAATCTTTTGATTCTTTTCTATGGCAATATAGAAAATTACTCATCAATAGCTAGTAGAGTGGCAGTTTTAATGCTAAAGAAACTGAAAAATTGAGATTAAGATCACCATCTTCATGCTATTTTGCTGATATTTATTAGAATAAAAGTATTTTAATTATCAATACATGTTATATGAACTCCAAGTGTATATATAAATAGGTATCATCATACATTTGTAAAATTCAAATATAAATATGATCTTTTTAACTGAAAAAGTCAATGTACTCATGGCCATGATAATAAAACAGTCTCACAGTCTTCTCTAACCTAATTTTGGCCCATACAAACTCCAAACCCTAAAAATAGTATTTTTCACTGTGAAGCTACATGCTATAAAGACCAATGGTAGCGGCTCTTGTTTCATGCAACAGTTTTCATAGTAATCTTCCTTCAAGCAATAAACAATAAAATAAAGTTTGTTTAATAAAGTGTAACTCAAGTGTCTCCCATGTCGACTTCAAAACCAGTAACATTCTTCTTCTTCTCCATTTTCCTGGTGATATTATCAACTGCACATGGATTCAACATCACCGAGATCCTTCAGCCGTTCCCGCATTTCAGCGTTTTCAATTCACGTTTGAGTGGAACAGGGTTGGCGGCGGAGATCAACGACATGATATCCGTGACGGTGCTTGTGGTGGCCGACGATCAGTTGCGGTCCTTCAATTATTTAGCGGAGGATGAAGTGAGGAAAATCTTGAGCTTCCATGTGGTGTACGGTTACTATGATCAGACGAGGCTGAAAGCGTTGACGGCCAGGACGATCCTCCCCACGGTTTACCAAGGATCTACCTTGACTGCTAACTACGACGGAAATGGTGCGGTTAGCTTTAGAGCGGCCGATTCAGATCCTGAAATGGATGTCAAGCTGCTCGGCACTGTCGAAGCTCAGCCTCATAGCATTTCGGTTTTACAAATTGCTAGTACCATAACGCTTGGCGGACCGCCTTCCCCTCCGCCGCAACAACTACCGTCACCTCCACCGTATGCTGCTCCGAAAGCTTCCCCTCCTAGGAAAATGTTAGCACCAGCACCAGCTCCTGCGCATAGTACTCAAGAGAAGAAGTCCCCTGCCCTGACCCCGTCCCCAACCCCAAAGCCAACCCCTTCTCTGGCTCCGTCCCCGAAGACAACCCCTTCTCCGTCTCCGGCCTCAAAGACGACCCCTTCTCCGACTCCGGCACCTAAACCAACCCCATCTCCAGCCCCGGGACCGAAGCCGACCCCAACTCCGGCCCCGGGACCGAAGCCCACCCTATCTCCGGCCTCTACCCCTACCCCATCCCCGACCCCGACTCTATCGGAACCATCTACGAATAAAACAAGCAAAGCACCGGGGGCATCCCCGCGTCGACGTAAAACTAAACCAAGCAACAATGGACCATCTTCATCCAATACAAAATCCAGCAGCAATGCACGATCTCCACCCAAGGCTGAACCAAGCAACAATGCACCACCTTCGTCCAACGCTAACCCAAGCAACAACGCACCACCTCCACCCAAGGTTAAACCAAGCACTAGTGCACCATCTCCATCCAAGGCTAAACCAAGCACTAATGCACCATTTGAAGCCCCTTCAGAATCGAAATCGACTACACCACCGGTCGCTTCGCCACCAGCGGATTCTAGTAATGAAGATGAAGACGTCCAGCCTTCAGCAGCATCGCCGCCAAAAGCATCTAGCAATACACCACCACCGGCCCCGGCTACTACCGTTCATGCTCCAGCTCCTGCTAAATCTACTGCACCCGAACGTATAAGCTCTGGGAATTATCTTGTTTCTATCCTTATGATTCTCATTGTTTCTCGGTTTTCGTTTAACATTGTTTGATAGATTGGTTGGTTTGTTTCTTGGATTTTAATCTTTGGGTTGTATTCATCTACCATGATGACATTTTCCAATCATCATTACTCCACTCCACAAATTTCAATTCACGTTAAAAGAAAATCGTTTATATTAATGAAGAAATTATTTCATGGACATTTTCCACCACGTCATTAAAGTTCTAATCGATTAATTTTTTTTACATCAATATTCTTTTTCATATAATTTATACGTAAAGATTTAATTTTTCAAATTAATTTATTCACTAATATATATCAAATTAAACTTAAATTTAAAAATTATTTTTTAAATCAATTTATTCATTAATATATATCAAATTAAACTTAAATTTAGAAATTATTTTTATGATATCCGTTAACGCGTTAAATTTTTTAGGAAATTTTTTTCTTAAATTTATAAAGTTCTTTACTTTCGATTCATACAAGTTAAAAGTTGGAAAATAAGATTAAAAGAACAAACGTTTAATAATTCATCAATGACATTTGTATTTCTGGAGTGCCTAATTATTTTCTTTGATCGATAAAATATTAATATTAATAAGAAAGAAGAGTCATCCTAATTCAAAACATCCCTAAACTTAAAGGAAAAGAGTACTTTAAATTAGGGACAAATGCAACAATAACCCTACTCAACGAACCCAACCTGCTATACAAGACAAAAACCTACAAGAAAGAAAATGCAGACCGCAAAACCCCACGAATATTCAAGCAGACATTTTAACCCCTATCAGGCGTCAAACCAACTGGTCTAACTTAGAGACACCCACCCAACAAACGATTCACAAGCATCAGCAAGACAGACCATACTCTTCCAACGCAAGAGCGAACAAGACATGGCCAACAACAGCGGAATCAGTTTCACTATAGACCAAACATAGATAAAATAAAATAAAAACAACACAAATCAAAACGACCATAGAACAAACTTCAACTGTAAACACATTCTTATTAAAGTTCTCGCAGGAATTAGTATTTCACCTTTTTAAATCGCCCTTCAACCTCCACAATTTGAAGTCGATCTCAGATCTGTTTTCCAGTACACTTCAAACGCCATTTCAATAATCTTTCGACATTCTTCTTTCTTAAGCTACCCATTTAAGAAATTAAATGGTTTTGGACCCCAAACAACACTGCCATTAACTAACAACATTAGTGCATGATCCGATACAACACGCTTCAAACCAATTTGCTTAAAATTCCCAATACCAAGACCACATTGCACATCCTCTAGAAATCTGACCATCGCCAGACCAAATCAAGAAAACTACACCCCTTTCATCGGGAAAACAATCAATCTACAAACGGAAATGAACTCGTTGAATTTCTTGAAACACTCCTCTCACTTCTATTTCTGACCATGTAGAATTTGTCAGCTTCCAACCATATATTCGTAGCTATCATCCTCAATTGTAACACCCCTATCCCGTATACGTCCCTGTATACGAGCTAAAGATGTCACATCAATAGTATAAAACTTATATTATTCAAAATACAATAAAATTTTGTTTCGTTTAAAATCGACATTAGAATAATTAATTGCATTTTAAAAACTATGATATAAAATTTATCTATACGAAAATAAAATACTAATCATATATAATTTAATCAAAATTAGTTCAGACATATTTGAATCAAATCATCAAAAGACATAAATATATACATGCCAACTAGAATAACAAAAACATCGATAAGATGTCATACTGATTCTGGATGTCTGAACTTGTCTGCCAAAATATAGGATGTCGTGCCTGGCTCCTTACTCTTTTGCCTGCTTTTCTTTACCTACGTGCGAAACGATCACACACTAAGTTTTCCATTTAGTGAGGCAACATAATTAAATAAATAACATATAAAAATAAGCAATTATAAAAAAACATTATTAAAATGAATCATGCATAAAATAAAAATAATTATCAAAATTCTTTACTTTAAAACATGTATCAAATATATACTGTTTTATTTCGATTCATATCGTTGTCCACTGTACTATGATGATAATATATGGTACACGAGTCTATGATTGAGTGTTTTATGCTATGTGCAGTATAACTGCCTGTGACTATGTTGTACATTTAGTGCCTGTGATTACACCATAGGTGCCCTGTGAATGTACATGTACTGTATAACACAACAACATTGTACCTATGAATCCTGAATTCATAAATGTATCTGATAACTATGATGTGCATAAATGTACCTCTGTGTGATCGATCAATAACACTCCACCTCTTGGCATGCCAATTGTACCACTAACTCTGAAGTTTCATACAATAGGCTTTGTTCGAAAACCATATACTATTTTACATATAAAATAACCATACATTCGAATATAATATAATTTAAATAAATGTTATATTGGGCAGTATATACCCAAAACTATCATATACTATAAAATAACATAAATTAATAAAATCTATGTTCAAATACTATTTTAAAACCATTTTCTATAAAAACGATCGAGGTTGACTTAACACAAGTCTTCCTCATATTATCTACTATAAAAAGTTTAGTTGCACTCACATGTTGCCTCATTTATAGCTCGAATTGTCAAGTTCGAATCGCTATCCAATTCGTTCTTCTCTTTTTGTTTACTTAAACTTCGATTACAATCGCGACCTTCCGAAATTCAATTATCCGACAAAATAAATTTCAAACATATGTTATTTTCTAACTAACATATTAAGCACATATTCAAATAAAATGTACAAAACACAATAAATGTATATTCGATACTATTTTCTCCAACTTAGTTCATTTCTAATACAACTTTTGCAAAATACCCTTCTTAGTTCTTGAAATTAATATTCCATAACCAAAATTCACTTAACTTCCCATATTTTCACAACTAACCACAACTACACATTTCTTTAAATTTAATCCCTAAAATTCGAACATCTCACTCGTTAATCCCTATCTATCACTTTTATTCCATGTTAGTTACCATTTCCAACTTCAAATAATATTTTCAAATCAAATACTTCAATCTTGCATTTTTGCTATTTCATCACCAACTTTTCCTAAACTTCCAACTTAATTCTTCATCATTTACCATCTTCCAAAATAGTCCAATTCACTATTTTAACACTAATTTCCAATATAGTACTTCAATTTCCAACAATTACCCAATAATCTTTCAGCTTCACAAAACCTACAAAAAAGTCCCTTAAGCTTAATATTACTCCAAATTGATCCAAAACTTAATTCCAATCACATGAAATCATTCCTATATCTATTCTAAGCCTTAAAGAAATTTTTACAAATTTTTTCTAATTATTTCCACCTAGGCCTAATCTTTCAAGCATTTCTCCTAATGGTCTCCAACTTTGTTTCAAGCTCAATTTCATCACCTACAACTCAATTTCATCCATTCCCAATCATTTATAACCATTTTCATAACAAAAAAAACCAAAAATTAACATTTCTCATAAAACCCATACATGACCGAATACTTGCAACTTGGTCCCTTAGTGGGTTTTAAATAACTTTTAAGCTTGTATATGATTCCATAACACTTCTAAGATCAAAATCAAACCTAATTTCCATCAAATTCAACTTCCCATCATCAACAAAAAAATACCCATTTTCACATTTCAACATGAAACAATGCAATACTTATACCAATTTGTAGAGAAACTAATGTAGAATATTTTATTGTTTCACAACTTAGTCCTAAATCTCACTAAAATGGATTAAATCAAAAAATTAAAAAGAAAATTTCTCACCCTGGCTATGGAGGTTTCGGGTAGCTAGAGAATGTGGGAGGATTTCTCTTGAACTTTCTTGTAAAATATCTCCTAATTTGTGTCTTAAAAAACCAACTAAAAATGAATTAAAATTTCATTTTGGCCCAAAAGTCAAAATTGCCATTAATGAATCCTAATATTTACTCCAATACCATCCTTTTATCTCCATTTTAATATTATTATTTAAATATAAAAATCCCATTTATCAATTTCCCTTCTTGCCCTTCCAATTTTCCAAAAATTCAATTTAGTCACTAAATTGCACTAGTCCACTTTATAATACAAATTCCACTAATCCACATCATATTCCACTGATTCAAATTATCATTATAATTTTTATAGCTCAAAACCACCTTCCTTTAAATTTTTGTAAGCTTCTGATTCGATCCGGTTATCCGAATATTATACCGATCTTTATTCTTTAATAGACTTTTATACAAACTCTAAATCAAAAATCTGAAACCCACTAAAATTATATTCTTGGGCTGAAATTATCATTTATAGACCCAAAACATAACTTCTAAAAAATTTACATTTTTAGCCCCTAAACTTTTACAACTTTACACTTTGGTCCCTAATTTTTCAAATTTTAACTTTAGTCACTAGTCCAAATTTTGGAATATTACTATTCTCCCCCTTTAGAAAATTCGTCCTCGAATTTTTAGTCTATAACTTATCCAAACAAGTGAGGAAACCATTTGTTCATATCTTCTCGTTCCCAAGTAGCTTCCTCCACTTTATGGTTACGCCAAAGTACCTTAACCAATGAAATTGTCTTGTTTCTTAGTTCTTTGACTCCATGTGTCAAAAGTTTCAATGGTTCTTACTCATATGTCAAATCTGGCTGAACTCGTTTTCCCCTAGTGTGATGACATGCAAAGGGTCTGATCGATACTTTCGAAGCATCGACATATGGAAAACCTTGTTAATATTGTCCATTTTGGAGGCAATTCCAACTGATAAGCCACCAGACCAACTCTTTTTAAGATCTCATAGGGTCCAATGAATCACAGACTTAACTTTCCTTTTTGTCCAAAGCGTAATACCTTTTTCCAAGATGATACTTTAAGAAAGACCTTATCACCCACTTGGTATTCAATCTCCTTTCTCTTTAAATCCGGGTAAGACATTTACCGGTCCACAATTTTTATGATATTCACTTTTTCTTCAACATTTTTGATCAAATCTGGACCAATTATATCTCTGTCTTTTAGCTCAAACCAATTCAATGGTGTCCTGCACT